GGCCTTTGCAACCCAGGCCATGCTAGGATCCTGTGATGATTCTAAGATTATGGGGCCCTACAGATCCCTGTGGCACCCTATGGGGCCTCTGGGCAGCCTGGTCTGCTGGTTGGTGACCTGCACACAGCAGGGGGTTGGAACTGGATGAGCACTGTGGTCTTTGCAACCCAGGCCTTTCTGTGATTCTATGGCAGGGAGCTGGGGGCTGTGAGCAGTGCAGCAGTGCAGAGGTGCTCTGTTCCACCCCTTTGCGTGCCTTGTCCGTCAGCAGGGCTTAACACTGGGGGATGTTTCAGTTCTTTTTTTCGGGGCTGAAGCACTGCCCATGTGTTCCCCAGCACCCCCAGCTCGGTGGGGCTCCTGAGCTCGCAGAGAAACCTTCCCCTCCCCGTGTTTGTTGCCCAGCACTTCCAGGAGCTGCTGCTTCTTTAGGCAGCATTGAAACTGACTCCGCTTTCGTGTTTGGTTTTATTTTTTCCCCTCTTTGAACACCCGATGCTGTCAGGTCCTCCTCGAGGATCTCTCGAAACCCCCCTGTGGTTTTGCAGGGAGCTGACGTGTTGTGGATGGCAGCAGCAGAGCTCTGTGGGAGAAAACCCATCGTGTGGGCACGCTCAGCTTTGGCTTTTTGAGACGGTTGGGCTCGGCAGCACAGCAAGCAGCTTGCATTAATGCGGGCTGCGCGGCCTTCCTGACCCTGTAAGCTGTGCTCTGGTGTTTTCAGGCAATGGAGGGCAGTGTGTGTGGGCTGCTCAGGCAGCAGGGAGGACTGGGAGCCGTCTGTGTGCCCACGGGGCCGCAGCCTTCGTGGTGGGGCTGGGGGTGGTGGGTGGGTATGGGCTCAGAGCAGGAGACGTGGAAGTGTCCCTTCCTACGTGCATGGAGGTGTTCAAGGCTGGGTTGGATGGGGCCCTGGGCAGCCTGGCCTAGCATTAAATGGGGAGGTTGGTGGCCCTGCATGTTGTGGCAGGGGGTTGGAGATTCCTGATCCTTGAGGTCCCTTCCAACCCTGGCCATTCTGAGGTGTGGTTACGTGGGGCTCCAGACCTGCTGTGCTGGATGCTCATCCCGTATCAGCGCAGCAGTGCAGGTGATGGAGGCTTTCAGCGTGGAATCCCAGAAGCACGGTGTGATTTGGGTTGGAAGAAGGGACCTTAAAGCCCACTCAGTCCCAATGCTGGGTGCTGCGACCACCCCTCCAACCCATTCCTACCCTGGCTTCAGTGGAGGCGCATTCCTACTGGATTAAATACGGTCTCTGATGACAAAGGAGAAAATTGGCAAGGAGGTCTGGGTGGAGCAACCAGTCGAAGCTAACCTTGCAACATAGGAGAAGCGTTAACATGGCCTCGTTGTGGCTGTCAGGGGTGCAAATGGCCGCGTGCTGTGCAAATGGGGCCTGGTGTGGGGCTGGGCTGGAGCCCCATGGGTCTGGTGGGACCCAGCAGCAGGCCCTGCTGTGTCATGGTGCTCTGGGAGGGGGCACCCACTGCTCCCTGTGCAGCGCCAGCACCTTGCTGCCCTCCGAGCAAAGGGTTCCCCAGTGACATCAGCCCCAAATCTCCTCTCGTTTGGGATCCGAAGGGGTGCTGAGAGGTTCCCCCTGCTGAGCACTGCGCTGTGCTGCGCTGCTGTGATTTTCCCCATTCTGGTTCTGCTGCTGTTGCGTTGTGCTGTGGGTTGGGGTGGAGGTGCTGAGTGGGACAACGTGGCCCCATCCTCACAGGCACTCATCCTTCCCACACTCATGTGACAGAAAAACCCTCCTCTGTCCCATCCCTTTTCCTCTGGGCATCACATGGCGAGCACTTTGATCCTAGAGTTTTGGGGGAGAGCAGGAAGCCTTTTTCTTCCCAATATGCTTCGTGGCAGCATCCCTTATGGCCTCCTGGAGGACTCCCAGCCTGAGACTGGCCTGCACCCATGGCAGCACCCAGCTCCAACCACAGCACATCACATCCATCTCCCACTGCTCCTTCTGGCACCGCTGGTTTGGAGCCCATCCCCGTGCCCTGCTCCGTGCGGGCCGACGTGGGGTTCTGCTGCTCTCCTCCCCGCGGTGAGAGCTGGGAGTGTCGAGGTGTAGAACGATTATACACGGCTCTGTTGGGTTTGCCTGAGGTGCAGGGGCTGCTGAATCACACCCCAAACCTGTCTGTCCGGGAGCGGTGAGGCACTGCGTGTGTCACCTGCACGGCTCAGTGCTGGTGGTCGCACACCCACAGCACCCAAACTGCACCGCCCCGCTGGGATTTCTGCATCCCGAGGGGGAAATGGGGCTGGAGGAGCTGCAGTTAATGCCCCGCCAAAGGTATCAGCCCTCTGAGTGAGCACAGGATGCAGGCTAGGAAATGGCTGATGATGGGGCAGTCGGCCCATGGGGAGCAGCTCCCAGCATTGCACGGGGAGTCCTTCCAACAGGAATGGAAACTCAGCTTCTCTGCTGTTTGTGGCTGGGAAGGTTCTCCTGCTGCTCGCTGAGGCTCTGAGGTCCAGCCCTTTTGCTCAGCACGAGGTTGTGGCTGGGGGATGCTGCTCCGTGCTGGAGGATCCGTGGGGTTCGGGGGCAGTTCCGTGTGCAGGTGTGGAGCAGGGCTGTGCTGGGGCTTCCCCTGCAGGCAGGAGGGAGAGGCAAACCTCCCCGGCAGGTTGGACCTGGCAGCGGTGAGGGCAGTCCTGGCTGCTTTGCCTGCATGGCGCGGGTGTGAGTTTGAGCCGCGTGGAAATGGAGGCGGTGGAAATGGAGCGGGGCACAGCAGTGGCTTGGTTTTGACATCAGGCCGTGGGATGCTGGAGCGGGGTGACCCCAAAGCTCTGCTCTGGGTGGGCCTGCTGGGCTGAGAGCAGGGCTGAGGGGCGGCTGCTTGGCTCTGTGCTGTGCCGGCTCGGTCCCACTGTGTGATTTGGAGCCCGGGGTCCTTTGGGAGCTGATGGAACCCACTGTCACCGTGTTCAGCTCCTGGGATGGTCTGTCCATCCGGCAATTCAAACCACGGTGATGAGACCTCGTGGAGACACAGTGCTGGGGAATGAGGGCAGCCGCCTTCAGAAGGGGCCGGGGGGGCAGGGGGTGCCTGGCAGCAGCACACAGGGGCAGATTGTCTGTGCGGAGCCCTGTGTGGGACACTGCTCTGATCTCTGCACATCAATGGCTGCGTGATCTCGGTCTGTCACGCGTCTCCTCCTGTGCTCTGCCCCAGACGTGCTGCCCGGGTGGGATAGAAGGGATTTCTTGTTGCGTTGCTGAAATAGGGGGGCAAAAAAAAACCATCAGCACCCTTTTGCATGATAACCACACGTTTGTTCCTGTCCAAGCGCAGGGTCTTCGCCTCAGGAGCACGCATCTGCTTGGCAGGTCCACATAATTTGGATAGTTTGGCTCTAAACCGCCGACAGCGCATTCCTGCTGGGGAGCAGCAGAATTTTAATGGCACCGTGGAGGAGCTGCAGCAGCCTTCACCCCCCCCGGCGGGCACAGCCCTGCTTTGCTGCCCTCCCCCCCCTCCCAGGCTCCGTGCTGGGGGCTGCAGGGTGCTCTGCCTGCAGGTCTGGCCTCGTGGCTGTGAGGAGGAGAGGGCAGCCGGGGTGATGGCTCCCGGAGTGCGCATGGAGAGACAAGGGCTCGCATTGTGCGACCTATAATAGGGGTGAGCTGTTCATAGGGGGGGAAAAATGCTCATTGGTGGGGAGGGAGAGGGTGATATTTGGGCCTTGGGCAGCAAACCGCTGCCTCTTTTTATTTTGTTCTTTAATAGCAACATTATTGTAGTAATCCTCTCCTGGCACACAGCAGCACTTGGAGGACGCTGTGACTTGTGGTGCGGCGTCCTGCCCCACGTGGCTGCGCGGTGGCTGCAGAGCTGTTGTCCTGCCATCGTGTTGGGCTCTGGATGCAGCACAGCCCCATGCTTGGGTCGCATCCCTACTGGGGAGCTTGGAGGAGAGCTCTGGCATTGCTGCACAGCACCTCTTCCCAGCGGCCGTATTTCAGGCTGGCAGTTCCCCATTGGGTTGCATGGGAGGGCGCAGTGCTGGCAGCCAAAGTGCGGCCGCTTTGGGGTGAAATGTGGCACCAGAGACACACAGTCTGGGACAGCAGTGCTCGGTGTGGGGCGGGGGGGGAGGACGGAGCTGCCTGGAGATGGAGGGCAGGGGCCGGAGCTCCCCGCCATGGTTCTGTTCTTGCCAGCTTGTTGGGTGCAGTCACCCAACGCTGTTGGACCCTGAGCGCTGCCTCGCTGTGCCTCGTGTCCAACATTGCCTTCAGCTGTGGTGGTTTTAGGTTCTGGAAAGGTGGAAGGTCCCTCATCATGTCACACATCCTCTGGTCAGCATCCCCAGAAGGGAGCAGGGTGGAGTTTATAGTGCTGCCAGGGGGGGGCTGGCTGCATTGCCCCCTCCCCATCTCAGCCATCGCATCGCTCCGACCGCAGGCGGGCACACAAAGGCTGTGTTGTGTGAGCAGAATGAGCAGCGACTTCCCCTGCCAGCCCTGGGCGGTCGCGTGACCCCACAGCCGTTCCCACACCGTCCGCCCTCTCCTCCCAACCCCCTGCCCAGCACGGGGGTCACCTCCCCAGCACAGCCCCCTGCCCCGCTCCTGTCGTGTCCCCGGAGCTGGCGGCTGCCACCGCACAGCCCGAATTCTCCATGGAGGTGGAGGGGACCCGTCTGAAGCCTGCGATCTGGATGGGAAGGGGTACAGAAGCACCAGGGGCTCCTCCCATTGCAGCTCAGAGCCCTGGTGGCTGAGGTTTGGGGTTCCACATGACCCCCTATAGCTCTGAGGTCGGGGGACCTCACCCCAAACTGCCCTCAGCCCCTGGGCGGCTGTTCCCCCTCCAAGCTGACGCCTCTCCTTCTGGGTAACCCACAAATCACAGGCCACGAGTTTGAATCTCGCTCCAGAAGCTCCTTTCTCCTTTGGATCAATAAAGTTCTTTAGAAACCACATTTGTGAGGAGCTGCTCAGAAAGCCTGCAGTGTGTGCGTGTGTGGCTGTGCGTGTTGGGAAGTGGGCTGGGGAGAAGCATTGCACCCATTTTGCAGAGCCAGAAAGTGTGAGACGTTGGGTTGGCAGCGTTGGCTCCTGCTGTTGGGCTGCGTTGCGTCTCATGTTGGGGTGATGGAGAGCATCCCTGGGGGAGCTGCTGGGTGTGCTTGGGTTCTTCAGCCGTCGGAGGGGTTGGGTGTTGTATGGTGGACACGGTTTAATGGGGAAGTGGTGGTGGTGGTTGGGCTGAATGAGCGTAGATGAACGACCGTATCGCTGGTGATGCTACGATTCTACAGACGGAGCGGATCTGTTTCTTTGGAGCATCTGGGAGTCATTGCCTTTCTTCTCTCTGCAGCCTTTCGCATCCACGATGGCGGGCGGCGTGGACGGCCCCATAGGGATCCCATTCCCAGATCACAGCAGCGACATCCTCAGCAGTCTGAACGAGCAGAGAAACAACGGGCTGTTGTGTGACGTGGTCATCTTGGTGGAAGGCCAGGAGTTTCCCACCCACCGCTCCGTCCTGGCGGCCTGCAGCCAGTACTTTAAGAAGCTCTTCACCTCAGGGTTAGTGGTGGACCAGCAAAACGTGTATGAGATTGACTTTGTGAGCGCCGACGCCTTGTCGGCTCTGCTGGAGTTCGCCTACACCGCGACCCTTACAGTCAGCACTTCCAACGTCAACGACATCCTCAACGCCGCCAAACTGCTGGAGATCCCGGCGGTGAGGGATGTTTGCACGGATCTCCTGGACAGGAAGATTCTGGCCAAAAATGACCAGATGGATATAGTAGATCAAATTGATCAAAGGAACCATCTCAGAGCAAAAGAGTACCTGGAGTTCTTCCAGAGCAACCCCGTCAACGGCCACCAAGGCAGCTTTCCGTGGACCAACCCGGAGTTGAGAGACCTTCAGAGACTCAACTTCCGAGGCCAAGAGGACGAGGAGGAGCCGGACTGCAACGGCTTGGACTTCTATCCGCAAGCCTCCCTCAACGAAAGACCAAAGGCGAATGACTGTGATCCCGACAGCAACCCGGCCATGTGGCTGGACAGAGAGGAGGAGGAGGCGGCGGCCGCCCCTGGCTCCTTGTTCTCACCTTCTCAGAACGGACATTACAGCGGCCGAAGCCTGGGCACGCCAGGAGAAGAGGAGGTGGCTCCCGGGGCCGCCCTGGACCAGCAGGACGCCGGCGACTCCCCCAGCTTCGTCCCCACCGGAGCGGAGGCGGAGGACGACGCCAGGGATGTGGACGGGTTGGCTGCCAGCGTGCTGCAGCAGGTGATCAGCTCGGTGGGGAGGCAGCAGCTCGGGGACGACGAGCGGAAGGACGACGACGGAGTCGTGGATTATTACTTGAAATACTTTGGCAGTTCGAACGAGAGCGACGTGTATCCGTCCTGGTCCCAAAAGGTGGAGAAGAAGATCAGGGCAAAAGCATTCCAAAAGTGCCCCATCTGTGCTAAAGTGATCCAGGGGGCTGGCAAGCTGCCGCGCCACATCCGCACCCACACCGGCGAGAAGCCCTACGAGTGCAACATCTGCAACGTGCGCTTCACCAGGTAAGGGCTGAGCTGTGTGCTGTGACGTGACGGTTCCATCCCAGCAGGAGGGCGTTCAGAGGCGTCTCCATCTGATGATGGAAACGTCGGTGGCCTCGCCGGGTGCTCAGGGATGGGTTTGTGCCCACCTGGCCCCAAACAAACCCCGCAGCTCCTCGGGCATCGCTTCCAGCCAGCAACCAGCCTGCTGTGGGATGGCTGGGTTCGAGGGCTGTGTTGGGGTTCCTCCTGTTAGCCCAGGCCTTCCAGCACGTCCTCCTTCCACTCCTCATGTCCTCCATCGCCCGGCCGAGGGCGGGGGTTCCGTGCCGTGCCAGGAGATGTGTGGGCTGCAGAAGGAGCAGCCAAATGGCCCAGCCTGCTCTGCTCTGCTCTGCTGTGCTCTGCTCTGCTCTGCTGTGCTCTGCTTGCTGCTCACCTCCTCAACGCCCGGGCAGGACAGAGCTGCTTCCCAGCAGCGTGGGCCATTCCCAGCCCTGCAGACATCATGGGCTGGAGCGGGTGACTGCAGGACGTGGGGCTGCTCTCCGAGCCTTCCACCTGCCAGCCTTGTCCCCTCTGCACCCTGAGAGCCATGCGGGGCCGCACCCGGGTGGCCGGGGACCCACGTTTGATAGCTGAGGAATGCAGATAATGCCGGGGCGGGATGCCAGCCCTGCAGCACGGCTCACTGCCCTGCCAACCACCACCGCCCTGCCCGCGGCGGGGGGGTCGGGGGCTGCCTGCACTTTGTGTGCCCGCACCCAGGTTCCGGCTGCCACACCTGAGCGGTTCAAGGTCCTCGTGTTCCCCCCCCTCCTCCCCACCCCCCGGGTTGTGGCCTCCTGGAAGCACCACGAGGGCTGGCAGAGCGGGGGCTGTGCCATGGGGCAGGGTGGGGTTTGTTTGGAGGTGGAGGGGATTGAGGAGCTGATGGCATTGCTGCTGCAATTCTGTCTGCTGCCTTCACCCCGCTGCCTCCCCCTTCTGCCTTCATCCCGCTGCCCTCGCCTCCCTCACCCTTCTACCTTCTCCCTACCACCTTCCCCATCGTGTCTTTACCCTTCCACCGCCCTCCCTGCTGCCCCCCAGCTCACAGGAGGCATTGGCTCATTGCAGGCAGAGATGTGGGTGGAAGCTGTGCCTCACCCCAGCCTGAACGTGGCCATAACGCATCAGGGCCCTGCTGGTTTCGAGCTAAAATACACCCTCCTGCACTGCCCCCAGCTTGTGGGAGGCTGCCTTTGGCCACACAGAGCCCCAGTGGGCGCAGTCTGAGGCAACCAAGCCTGAAATCATCCAGATTTCCCTTCCAGTGTTGCTCTTCTCCCCTCTCATCCCCCATTCATCGTTCTCTGTCACGCTGCCTGATGCAAAGCCCCACCTGCCTTCATGGCTCAGGGCTGTGCTGGGAGCACTGAGCCCTGGCGTGGGGCAGAGGTGCAGGGTTGGGGGTGTGGGGGGGCACGGAGCTGTGCTCGCTGGGTGGGGAGGGCTCACTCACAGCTTTGTGCTGATTTTTGCTTGCTTTGCTTCCTGGTTCCTCCGTGCCCGGATGGGGAGGAGCCGCTCTGCTGATCTTTCAGGAAGGGTTTGATCAGAATTCAACTCGGAAAACCGCGTTGTTTGCTCTCAGCCTGGCCCGACTTCCCAGCTCCCTTTGGGAGCCTCGTTAGGACCGGCTGCATCCTCGAGGTTTCCATCCTTCCCTCTGTGCCAGGACGCCTCCCGGCCCTAAGAGCCCTCGGGGCAGGGGGGGCTTCATGCTCACCCCCACTCCGCTCTACTGCTTTCCTCTGGGAAGAAGCAAAGCCCCGGCCCTGTGACGGCGAGGATGAGGACGATGAGGAAGGCCGTCCCCATCCATCTGACCGCCCCGTGTCCTTTCTCTCCACGCAGGCAGGACAAGCTGAAGGTCCACATGCGGAAACACACGGGGGAGAAGCCCTATTTGTGCCAGCAGTGCGGAGCCGCGTTCGCTCACAACTACGACTTGAAGAACCACATGCGTGTGCACACCGGCCTGCGGCCCTACCAGTGCGACAGCTGCTTCAAGACTTTCGTCCGCTCTGACCACTTGCACAGGCACCTTAAAAAGGATGGCTGCAACGGCATCCCGTCCCGGAGGGGCCGACGGCCGCGGGTGAGAGATGCCGGGGGGCTGCCCACCCCTACGGGAAACCCCGAGGATGGAGGATTTCAAGGAGGTGGGGAGAGTCAGGAATCAGAGGACACCGTGCAGGGGAACGGCCAAGAGCAGCACTTTGAGGATAGTTCTACTACCGAAGCGTCGGGATTGAATGTAGCAGGAGGGTCGGCCGAGGGCAGCGCGCCAGGACTCTCCTAAACCAAAAAAAACAAAACAAAACAAAACCAAACCCAACCAACCGACAAACCACCACAAACGACAACAAGAGAGGTGTCACAAAATCTAGTTAGTACTTTTTCCTCCGATTTTCTCTTTCGAGGTGTTTCTCTCTCCCTTTTCCCCTCCCTTCCCTCCGCTCCCCCCCCCCCCCCCCCCCCCCCTCCGTTCCTCACCCCCCTCCCCATTTTTTTTTTTGGTTTTTTTTTTTTTTGGTTTTTTTTTTAAGGAAAAAAGAAGCAAAAATAGGTCTGTCGACGACGTTCCCAATCTCCCCATGGCAGGCAGGGCTCCCCCAGTGCTGGTGGGACGGGCAGGCGGGGCGGGGATGGAGAGCGCATGGAAAGGAGCTTCCATGTAAAACCCAAAGCTTTATTTTGTGTCCGAATACACGTTAAAAAAAAAAAAAAAAAAAAAAAAAAAATGGAAAAAAAAATAAAAAAAAAAAAGGCCAAGAGTGGAAGGGGGGCTTTTAGTTGGGGGGAGGGGGGGGTGCACGCAGTGCCTCGAGGGGCCGGGAAGGAGCGGGCCCACCTTCCCCCCCCCTCCCCCCCTTTTAACCCCCCGCTCTGCCTGCAGAGCTGTAGGGAGGTGTTGGGGTGCAGCGTGGGGTTGGGATGATGCGTTTTGCACGGGGATCTCACGGCGTGCGGCCCCGAAGGCGGCTCTAAGCTCCTTAACCCAAAGTCTGTTCCCCCCACAGCCCTCGTCCCAGCACCCCCAACCACCCCCCCATAGCACCCAGGAACCCTCAGGAATATCGCCCAGCCCGGTGCTGCGGTGCGGCCGGGCTGGGGCTGCCCCTGCCCCATATTTTTAGGCACTCGTTCGGAGCTGCAGTGTTCCCGCACGCCCAGAAAGCACCTAAAAATGGCAGATTCCTTTGAAAAAAGGTTATTTGAGGTCTCCCTTAAAGGGGAAGGAGGGTTTTGGCAGGAGGAGATGGGAGGGGCGAAGGCTGCGGCCGCGGCGGCTTTAAGGCTGTGCAGAGCGGCTCTGCGTCACCCTATGGCCGCCGTTCTGCACGGCTCTGCGGCCCTTTTGGGGGCACCTTTCTCAGGGATGCAGGCCTGTCCCCAAAGGGACAAAGCCCTGTCCCCTAAGGGTACACAGCTCTGTTTGCAAAGGAGCACGGCTCTGTCCTCGAATGGACAAAGCCCTGTCCCCGAAGGGACGCAGCTCTGTCCTCCAAAAGATGCAGCCCCATTCCCAAAGGGATGCAGCCCTGTTCCAAAAGGGACACAGCTCTGTCCCCAAAGGGATACGACCCTGTCCCCAACGCGATGCAGCCCCGTCCCCAAGGGGACACAGCTCTGTTTGAAAGGGGGCGCAGCCCTGTCCCCAAAAAGGCACAGCTCTGTCTGCAGTGGGGTGCAGCTCTGTCCCCAAAGGGACGCGGTGCTGTCCCCAAAGGGATGCAGCTCCGTCCCCAAAGAGATGACGCCCTGTCCCCAAAAGGACACAGCTCTGTCCTCCAAAAGATTCAGCCCCTCCCCAAAGGGACACAGCCCTGTCCCCAAAAAGGCACAGCTCTGCCTGAAGAGAGGCACGGCTCTGCCCCCAGCGGGACAAAGCCCTGTCCCCCAAGGGACACAGATCTGTCTGAAAAGGGACACGGCTCTGTCCTTCAAAAGATGCAGCCCCATTCCCAAAAGGACAAAGCCCTGTTCCCAAAAAGACACAGCTCTGTGTCCAATGGGACGCGGCCCTGTCCCCAAAAAGATGCAGCCCCATCCCCAAAGGGACTCAGCCCTGCCCCCAGAAAGACACAGCTCTGCCTGGAAAGGGACACAGCTCTGTCCCCAAAGAGATGCAGCCCTGTCCCCAAAGGGACACAATGCTGTCCCCAAAGGGACGCTGATGGACGTGGGTGCGCCGTGCGTGCCCCCCCCGTGCAGAGGGCGATAGGAAGGCACCTTTCAGCCATTCACCTGTTTTCTAAATGCACATTTTGAGATGAAAGAAAAAAAAAAAAAAAAAAAAAAAAAAAAAAAGAGATTTTAGTCCTTTTATTTTGAAAAGCACTTTTTAAGATTCTTTTTTTTTTTTTTTTGCCTTTTTCTGTTTTTTTTTTTTTGTTTTTTTTTTGTTTTGTTTTTTTCCCTTTTGGTGTTTGTTTTTACTCTCAAAGCCAGAGCAGGTCGGGCCGAATGTATTTTGGAGAGGGAGTGAGAGGGGAGTGTGTGCTGGGGGAGGGCTGAGTGGTGGGGGG